AAACGAAAACTCGTGGTATTGATGTGCAAAAATGGACTTTGGCGTGTATATGCTACGTGATGGGTAGGATTAGGGTTGTGGGGTAGATGCATATCACATGTACGCGAAAACTGCGTGTCATATGCACGGCAACAAATTTCGTATCATATGCACGCGAAAACGGCGTATTATATGCATGCCAAACACATGCGTATCGTGCATGCCAAAGTCCATTTTTGCGTATCAATACCACAAGATTTTGTTTTTATTTGGCGTACTATTTATACGCGTTTTTATGAGACCGGGCTCTTAGTTCCAAGCGCTAATAGCGTTAATGCCTCCTGAGTGATTCAAATGGCTGATGTGATACATCTTCTTTGATTGGGTACAAATAGAGGCCTAGTCAACAGAACCTCTTAGCACTGAGACATGAGTGACTTTTTAACCTCCAGGAATTAAGAAAGAGTACAGGATGGTTTCCAAATCTCCTAGCACCTGAGGGAAACCCGTATAGGAGACTAATCAGGACCATTAGCAGTGAGACGGGCCCGACCGAATGGTGCAAGGAACAATCACTGCTTTTTACAGTACTTTAGTGAGGGGGCATGAGGTTGTATCAGGCTGGACAGAAATAGAGATCTTGTGTCTGTTTTTGAAGAGCATTGAAGGACGTTTTCAGAGTGAGAGGAGAAAATGAGGCTGTTTGCTTCAAAGGAAAGTTTCTTCAAAGATTTCAGTATCAATGTTTCAGTGCCACCAGTCAACTGATGATCCTTGATTGCCGAGCACCAAATGTAACAAAAGATCAACATAAAATTGGTTCATAAATTGTCTGTGCTATTTGTAGGTCTTTTATTAATCTTCTGAAGTGATACAACAGCATCATAATCAGTATGATCTTTTGAAAATTGACATCAAACCTGCTGTATTACATATTGATGTGGCACATTTAAATGTAATAAACACAAATTTAAGAAATAAAGGAGATATTTTTTAAAATAACAATTAAAATTTTTAGTTTTGCACACAAATACAAATGTTTTTATTTTTATTATTTAAAGAAAATAATACATTTATTTAGCTCGGATGCAATAAATTGCTCAAAACAAGAGTTTTCAACATTGATAATAATAAGAAATGTTTCTTAAGCAGCAAATCAGCATATTAGAATGATTTCTGAAGGATCATGTGACACTGAAGACTGGAGTAATGATGCTGAAAATTCAGCTTTACCATCTCAGGAATAAATTACATTTTAGAATGTATTAAAATAGAAAACCGTTGTTTTAAATTGTAATATTTCAAAATGTTACTGTTTTTACTGTATTTTTGATCAAATAAATGCAGCCCTGGTGAGCATGAAATACTTTTTCCCCCAAAGACATTATAAAAAAAATAATATCTTACAGACCCCAAACTCTTGAATGATACTGTAGCGCACAAGTCATATGGATCATTTTCATGGTACTTTTATAACACTTTTGTATTATAAAAAATATTATAAAAATGATATGTTTGTAAATCATCTCTTTTTGTGTTTCACATAAGTAAGAAAATCATACAGGTTTGGAACAATATAAGGCTGGATGATGACAGAATTGTTCCTTTAATTAAAAATAATTTTAAAAAGCTCATTCTTTTAAATAATTCCTAATTAAAAAATAATTAATAATTATTCATTAAAAAATAATTAAATAAATGTAGAATAAAATCCAAATGAGTTATAATATTTATGAAACTAGTTTTTAGTTTAAAAACATTCACAAAAATAAGGTTTTGTCAGATATCTTCTGGGGACATTTTAAGGCTATGCTCACATATGCATTCTTATTAACAAAAAAGCACAGAACTAAAGGGCCCTCAGTTTTCGACACACACCTCCACTGTGGGAAAGGTGTCGGGTTATTGACCCCTGAGGTAATCACAGTGTGAACACTTGGGACTAAAGTGTCTGCACCCTTCATTATCACCCACAGTTCACAGATACACACAGGTACAATAACACCTGAAGCCTCAGGGCTTTACTGCACCACAGGAACGCAGGCCTATTATTTCTGTTGCACAAGGTGCCTCTGCATGAGCTCGTCATGTCATCCCACTGAAACGCTCAACTAATATTTCTGCAGCCATATTAGAAATCGAGCCCTCGAGGGAAGATTCGATGTCGATACAGCAAACCGGATAAAAGACAATAGCATGGTGGAAACAAGTTCACAGGCTCACTCAGACTCCACATCCAGTCTTGACTTCTGAAATGCCTTTTATTTCAACATAAAGGACGGGGTGAAGGCTTCTGAGACAGTTGTGTGTAGACCTGCCTCCTCCAGAAGCCCCTCTCTGCCCCGCGCTGAAAAGATAAGTTGTCGAACTTGTCAGAGTTTGCCTGGAGGGAGACAAAGTCAGACTGCTTTCATTTACAGACATCTTCCATTTGACCTCTGCCAAGTCGTCTTTGAAAACTGTTTTATTGCAGGTCGGCGCGAGAGAGGAGGGAGGGGTGAATGGTTCGGCCGTGCTGAAAAGGACAAGATTACCCTTCATTCTCCGGTTCTGTCCATTCAACCTCTTCAGCCCGAGCCCAATCTCACTGGCAGGCTGCATTGTGACCGTAATGTGAATTTTGTGGTGAACATGGATTAAACAGGAGGCTAATAAAGAATGTGGCCCACGGGAAGTGAGCGACAGAAGTGCAGCAATGCGAAGCCTGGAATTAGCTTTTTCAATCTTTTTTGACAATTGCGGAATGACTTTTCATTAGTCGAAGGTTTTCAAATACCTTTGTGACGTGAGAGACAAAGATGTCTGTAAACTGACTGCTGCTACAGAACATTTCAATCATATTGATGTCCCACTTTTTTCCGACCATCCTATAGATTCTGCTGACCAAGTAGAAAGTGGTTCTATTCAAAAAGTTTGCAGAACTATGGGAAACTTGCTTCATAAACTTGTGTGTTGAGTTTGCAGATATATATATATATATATATATATATATATATATATATATATGTGTGTGTGTGTGTGTGTGTGTGTGTGTGTGTGTATGCACTACCATTCAAAAGTCTGGGGTCAGTAAGTTTTTTTTTTTATTCATTAAAAGCAAATTAAATTGATCAAAATACAATAACGACTTTAACATTGCTACAAAAACATTTAATTTCATATTTCAAATTAAATATGTTCTTTTGAACTTTCTTTTCATCAAAGAATCCTGGAAAAATGTATAATGGTTTCCATAAAAATATTAAGCAGTACAACTGTTTTGTTATTGCTGATAATAATAAGAAATGTTTCTTGAGCAGAATCTGAATATTGAATTCAAATCTGAATATTAGAATGATTCCTGAAGGACCATGTGACACTGTAAAATAATGGCTGCTAAAATTACATTTTAAATGTATTCAAATAGAAAACAGTTATTTTATTGGTAATAATATTTCATATATTCTTTTTAATTCAGAAAACTGTGCATTTTTTGTAGCATGTTAGATTGCTCCACTTTGTTTGCCATCTGTGTGTTTTAACATTACCTTGTGTTCATGTTGTAGGAAAGATACATACCACAAAATCCATCCTGATTTCTCCCAGAGGTTTTGCCAAGCATTCCTCATGGGTTCAACACTCTCTATATCAAGCAGTCTGAGTGTTGCAGTGACACAATTTTGCTATCACATTAACTGAGGAAGACACACACGTTCATTTCCAATAGATGGATGTCGTTAAGTTATGTCACAGCATGTCTTACATCAAAGAGAGCAGAAACTCATTTCTGTCTTTCTTTCTGAGCTACTCTGAGAAAGTAGACGAGTTGCATGCTGATATTGTCTGAAAATCTTGTACAGGTACTTTTTCAACCTTTAAGCATTGGTATGCCTTTTATCTAAAACTCTGTGTCATGTATTAACACGCAAAAAATGTACTCCCTAATACAAGAATGTGTTTCTGCTTACAGGCTGAGCTGAAGGGACTTGTGTGTGTGTGTGTGTGTGTGTGTGTGTGTGTGGTGTGCAAATGGTCCTGGATAAATTAAACCTGAGGCTCTCTAACTGTAACTGCTTTGCGTTGCTTATGCATTTCAACGCGAAAGCCTGTTTGAAAGAAGCAGCAGAACTGGATGTAATGATTCCAGTGTCACACAAAACTGATTTTCAAGGCTCTTAGAGTTACTAGAGAAGATTTTCACTGATGCAGTCCTTCAAGGGAAAACACTGAAGTTAAAAACCTTGCATATCTTGCACAATGCTCTCATGTTCTGACCTTTAATATGTAAACAAATAAAATATTTTGGCCATGGGAAATTTCCACTGCTCTCATTTATAGACCTACTATGAGTGTTTTAAGTGTCCTGTCTCATAGATAGATCGATAGCTGGTTGAATAGTACATTACAATATATGTTAAAATAAATAGTTTAGAGAGAGAGAGAGAGAGAGAGAGAGAGAGAGAGGGGGACTGATGGCTAGTTGTTAAATACTTTATGCCAGTGAATAGGCTCTGGAAGTCTGGGTTGTTTTATTTTTGAAAGTTTTTTTTGTATAGACACACTTTAATGTCTTGGCTATAAAAATCTATTGAAACACGCGCGCGCACACACACACACACACACACACACACACACAAAGACACACAATAATAACTTGCCCCAAGCCTATTATTATATAAAAAATATATCCCTGTCTTCAGAACATAATTCAGCCTTTAGTTAACTCTTGTTTAAATGTATGCTAGGGTAGTTGTGTTATTCAACAGCAAATATGCAAAATATAGGATTTTTTTCTCATTTAAGGGGGTTATGAAAATGCATAAATATTGCATTCCACATAGTACCACCTAATGAAACATGAATGTAATTGCATTCACAGAGATCCCCAGTGGACCGCTTGACAGTTCACTACAGTGGGTTGAAGATAATCACGGCAGCTCGCGCTGAAGGGGCGGTGCTCCAAGGTAAAGTCCCCACCCCATGGGCGTGTCGTACTCAAATGAGCGACAATGCATCCACCTGCCAAGCTGTTTAGGCAGCATTTGAGGCGAGCGAATGAGTGCGGGCTGAAGTGCGCTTGTGTTTGGAGATATTCAGACGGGCAGTCACGGCGCTGAAGCTGTTCATATCATGTGTTGTCATGTGGCTTTTATGCTTCTCTAACGCGTCTTAGCTTGATATCCAACGGGATTCCCAGCACTATAATAGAGAAGAAGAAGCACACCGCGCTCAGGTGTTCAGAGAGATAAGGACTGGACCTCACTATACCTGCAGGACCTGGGACATACGAACATAAACCAGAACTCAGACATTTCCTGGATTCACTCTTTGAATTGAGCTCAAAGTTCCTTCTGGACAGTTTGGAGCAAAGCAGGTAAACATTGGATTGCATTATTATTATTATTATTATTATTATTATTATTATTATTATGAGCTACATTTAAACGTCCAGATTTGATTTCTAAATGCAATGCAACTTTTTATTAACTCAGTTGGCTTTGCAGTGAATCCAGGTTCCTGCCATATCTATAATAATTATTTCCCGATATAACAGTCAGTGTTGGCATTAATATTTTTTCCTCCATTACGCAAAATGTAATTTCTTGAATTTATTTTTGCAATTGTTGTTTGCTGTATATGGGTAGTTGACAACATATCCACTGACTTTTTTAGTCAACATCAAGAATTTAGTTTAAAATGTGCATATATGATGTCAAGGGTCTTTTAACTGATCACCATTTTATCACCTACACAAGTTAATTTTAAATGGTTCTATATAATGACAAATTGATTTTCAAAAGTACAGTATTCTACATAGTACTTCAATGTAACGTGGTCCTAAACACTGCATGTATAGAATAAGCACAGAGGTAAAGTCACACCACAGAAACTGCTTGACGTTTCATGTTAATGTTGGTTAGATTAAGAATAACACATTCTCTGAACTTGCATTACCCACAACAGCTAATAATATCCCTGTATGCAGACTTAATAACCTTATAATTCTTTGCATTGTCACTTATTTCTACTCTCCACTGCGAGACTACGCTGCTCTACTTTGCATAGCTCCTTTCTTGCTGTTTCCCAGCGTTTTTCTAACACAAGTTAAGCATACACTGAGCTATCCGGGAGCTCCTGTATATATAACAGCACAATAGGCAGTTAAGACAGAGTGAGAGAAGTTTATTTTCATTGCTCTGCTGGGAAGCAGGAAAAAAAAAGAAACAAAATACATTGTCTCCAGGGGCCAGAGTACATGTCTTTACAAAATAAGCACGGCAACAATTTCACAAACTAGCAATAAACAAACACAATAAATGCAGATATGGGCTGTACATATTGATACTCTATTGCCAAATAGGGTAAAACATGTAGAAAGCAAGAATTGCATAAAAATAAATGCGACCAATTGACCTGTTGATCAGTCATAAGACTTGATTATGAATGTTGACAACTTGCATTTCCAGGAAAGCTGAATTTACAAGCCAAGTTCGATTTGTTGAATTATGAGATGCTGAAGAGCCCATTCTATTCATTGTCTTTTATTCATTTCTTTAATTAAATTCATCATATTGGAATTTATTAAATCACAGTTTAACAATGTGTTAATGCGGTAGCTGAGGAATTATTTTATTGCAAAAGTTGACATGACAGAGTGCCTCTTAATTGGGAGTTAAGTTTAAAACATTAATAAATCAAAAGTGTAACTGAAAGAATGAAATTTGAATGCAACAGCCTGAATGTTTCTTGCTATCCTACAATTTTTCACATAATATTTAGCCTGTTCTTTTAAAAAAAATGCCCTAAAAGCCATGCATTTTGGCGTGTATGTATTGATCTATTCTTTCACTGTATTTGTGAGACTGTATCCATAATTGCTTGCCTCCAACTGTCTGTGTGAAGTTGTTCATATAATTGTTTTTTAATTTCACTGGCTTGTGTGAGGTAAAGAGGCAGAGATTTTAGATAAACAGCCGGACAGTTAACAAATAGCTGAGGTTTGAACAGCTGCTTCCACTCATAAACGCTCTGCGGCCAGGCAGCGCTTTTTTGGACTGATCGTCTTCCGCTAGTACTACTTTTCAGTTTTTTGAGTTTGTTCTTTCATAAAAAAAGGGTATTACGCATGCAGTTGTGATCAATGTCAATGCCATGTGGCTTTGGGAACGGTATCATTGATTTAGATATATCCACACCGATTTACGTTTTTAAGATTAAGTGTCATGCCACCACTGAGCAGCATGTGTGCAGCCCCTCTGTGGGTGGCAGCCTTGTTCCTGTCCATCTGAAAGAGATGGACTATGTGGCAGCAGTGGGGTTTGTCAACACTCCCGTGGGGAATATCCTTTTGCTGTATGTTTCAAACAAATGTAACCAACCCCTTATTTTTTGGTGAAATGTTTAATGTGGAGGGCCTCTTAGCTTCTATTATTAAAGCAGCCAGCCCAGAGGTAAAACATGTGGAACTTTAAAATATCTGGAATACATATGGGCGAACAATATTTCAGATAAGACATTGAGTGAATAAGAGAATGCATTCAACATGTATTTTCCTTTTTCTTTGAATATTTTAATTTGATAAGCTGCTGTGATCAATAATATATGTTATAGCTGAAGGTGAGCAGCAGTTTTGTGAATAAGGTGCAAAACGTAATGAATCTAATTTACATGGGAAGGAAGCATGTTTATTAGTGGTCGACCGATATTGGTTTTTTGACAGCCGATGCCGATATCTTGGAAAGCAGGGTGGCCGATATAAAGCCAATATAATTTTATTTATTTTAATTAATATTTAAGAAATTTGAAATCATTTGAAAATTGTTAAAAAAATAAATGTTAAATAAACATACTTATACTTTAGATGACAAAGTATTTTTCACAAATAAATAAATATTTAATAAAATTATAATTAAAAAGGATGTGTCGATCGCGCTTCTCCAGTGAAGCTGAACTCTCCTCCTGTTAGCATTCAATTCTCACGGATCGACCGTCTCGCAGAGAACACACGATCATGCTGGATACAAATGCACACTTCACAAGATCTCACAACTGGATCCGACTAAGTTTGCAAGGTTTTTGAAATTAGATGTTTATTAGACATTCAAAGATTTGTTTAAATGATATAAATGCGTATTTGCTGAATGCTGACGGCAAACAAGAAAGTATTATAATGTTTGCCTTTCTATTGCTAATAATATAAAAGCAATCGTTATAAGAATTTTTGTATACATATTCCTTTGTTTAACCGTTCTGTCTAATTATTAGACAGACTTCTAGCTGTATTTAGACAGAACTGTTAACGACGATGGCAAACAAGAGGGAGAATGTGAGCACTGTGTGTTCAGGCGCTGGCGTTCTCAGCGCCGTCAAAAAAGTCCCGCCTCGAACGCATCGGCAAAACTGGAAAACTTATTGACCGATGCGATATTTAAAAAATGCCAAATATCGGCCGATATATCGGTCGACCACTAATGTTTATGCTTTGAAGAATGACACTGACTTAATTTGAATGCACTGTAGTGCATTAAAGTGTTTGCTGAAATATGGCATGCAAGTGTGCCAAATGTCGAATTCGCTCCGTAGTCGGTAACCCAAAGAAATAAACTATTTATTTAAGTATTTGCATCCTTTAACTTTGGAAAGCAGTAAGTGACATCAATATCATTTACAATAATGTGCTTTTTCTTCCCAGTGACCTCTTCAAGTGTGTCTTTCTGAATTCAACATGCTGTTGGGCAGTCTATGGTCAGTCCAGGTTCTCCTGGCTCTATCTGTTCCAACAATGGGTTCGGACGGTGAACCTCAGAACGCCCCTCGGGTCTTTTTGTCCTTCAAAGGTAAGAGAGCATTTCTGATTGGCTTCAGCTCCATTTGTGTGGCCTGTGGCTTTGAAGAACCGTGTGAATATTCTGGAATATACTTTTCTCATGTGCTACCTTCTGGTTTTCATGACTGAATTTGATGAGTTGATAAATGTTCTAGGTTCGGGAGGAAATTCACTGCGTAGACGGATTCTCCAGTCTAATCGCACACCGAATTAGTAAAAACCGTCTGTGCGTTTCTAATGGCTTTCCTGTCAGACGTCTCAGATTTTGCTCAGCCAGCTGCGTCCACTTTCATTCTGTGTCAGAGTAATTAAAAACACAAACAAGAGTTGAAGAAAGTCATTTCGAAACTTCAACACAGGTCAGAGAAATTTACAGAAAACCAAACATGCCGTTTCAATTATTTCGGTAGTATGTTTTTAAGTACATTTCTGGAATAATCGATAGCAGATGCAAAACCGGAGATGTTAGATGTTAGTGATGAAATGATGGCAGATGAGTCTACTGTTTTCGCACAGAGACTGAACTCTCTAACAGATTAACGCTTATTCCTACAAATAAAGCTCCTTAAAAGATTTTTACAGTCTGATGCATTAAAATAACCTTTTTATGTCAAAATCAGTTCCATTCTGATCTGAAGAAAAATAATGTACACTCTTAAAAAGAAAGGTTCTTTATTGGAATCGGTGGTTACATGAGGAAGAAGCTTTCCATTCGACAAAAGGTTCTTTAAAATGAAAAAAAATTATTCTTGAAAAATTGATTCTTTTAAGAACTGTTCACTGAAAGGTTCTTTGGAGAACATAAAATGGTTCTTCTGTGGCACTGATGCAGTACACCTTCAAATCAATTCATCAACTTTTTAACCAAGAGATCAAGTGAGTGAACTCAGTATTCTTATACAGTGAAAAATGGTTCTTAGTGAACCTAATGTGCTGCCAAAACCATTCAAGAAGCTTTATTTTTAGGAGTTCAATTGGCTAGGCTGTGTCTGGGATTTTAAGAAGCATCGTGTAGAGTTAAATTATCAAGATCAGCTACGCACATTAATATGCCCCAGGTCTAGGTCCGTCCTGCGATCAGCCATTTGAGAATAAGGACCGAGCAATTTCCCTGTTTGCCAAAGACTCAGTGTCCCAGACCAGAATGCACTGGTGGACTTAATTACAAAAGCTGGCATGCACAGTTCATTATTCAAGGCTTTTT